TTTTTTCCTTAAATGAATACAGGGTTATCAAAAAGTGCTGGTCTATTTTAAATAGTTATTTTACATAAAAACTTCGTTATTTCAAATGTAACACTATGTATTTTTTAAAATATGTCGAAGTAGATTTAAATGCTCTTTCAAACTATATTAGGGTTTCCTATACCTATCTGGCTCAGGTTTTGAATAAAAAGCGATTTTTCATTAAAATGGAAATCAAGATGGCTGATGTTGCTATGGCAATTTGCTAGCGACAGTAGTTTCTTGGTTTAATAAAGATTTGTTCTTCTTAAAGTTATTTTCAAAATCGACATTAGTTTATAGACTTTATTTAAATTTATCACAGTTTACTTTTATTTAATTTACCAACAATAGTTTAATAAGTAAATTATTTTATCAAGAAAAATAAATAAGTATAGTTCTTTGATTTATATTACGATGACTTGTAGATATATTGGATTTTCTATAAAAGAGCCAATTAAGGCAAATTCATTTTATTCACTTCCAACGACAAGTTTCTGCCTAATAGGTTTTTCATATACCTCACTATCATCTCTGCGAAATAGGAAAAGTAGTTTTTCAAAGGAACGCTTGTCAAGAAAATTCCTATTTGGATATCTTTGAGCATAAACCCTTCAGGCCAAGAAGCAATTGTCCTCAAAAAATAAAATCTAGTAGGTAACTAATAACATATCCATTCCTTCCACCAGCAGATACTGCTTCATTTTTCTTGATAAAATAATAAATACTTACATATTAACCAATTTAATTATTAAGTCCATAAACTAATGTCGATTTTGAAAATAGCTACTAAATGTCACTAGAAAATTGCCACGGCAATACCAGCCATCATGATTACAATTTTATTGAAAAATCGCTTTATATTTAAAATCTGAGCCAGATAGGTATGGGAAGCCCTAAGATAGTTTGAAAGAGCACTTAAATCTGCTTCGACTTTAGTGTTGTAAATACTTTAGTGTTGTATTTGAAATAACGAAGTTTTTATGTAAAATAAATATCTAAAATAGACCAGGAATTGGTTTCACCAGATTTGGTTTGGTTTGGTTTGGTTGTAAATTTTCAAAGCTTAGCAGCATCCTGGAGCGTCCCCGCCAAAGGGTAAGGGAGCAAGTACATCTCACCTCTGCTCCGGCGGGGATAACGAGAAAAAAGTAAGGATGCAGAGCTGTCCAAGATCGAGAGGCAGGAACGTATTACCAGCTTTACCACTATTACTGGACAGAGGAGAATGGCGGTCTAGCGGTAAAAAGGATTACCCCGCGGTAGCACTGACCACCGACCAGCAAAAATAATTTCCTTGAGAGTGTCGAAATATGCGTTTCTTGCGGTATAAACGGTTCAAGAGACTGTGGATCTGAGTATAATATCCTCCCAAAAAATCTTGACAGGGTAGCACTACTGACCACCGACGAGCAAAAATAAATTTTGATTCCCTTGAGGGTGTTGAAATATATATACACTGTGTCAATTTTAAAACTTCCCACCTTTAATATCTTTCTTGAAGTTAAAAATATGAAAAATCGGGAAGACACGTCAATTTTATTTGTAACGGGGACACTTTAAATGAATATTTTTAGTCTTTTTCTTTCAATCCCTGAGGAGGGGTAGATGTCACCCTTAAAATCTTAAATAGGAATGGGGATCAAGTGGCACATAGTTTTAAAGGGCTTTTAATTCTTTTTTCAGTGGTATCCTACGTTGTTGCTTTTTGTCCAGAGATTTCCGAATAATCGCGTTCCAAAGTTGCAGAAACAATTAAATCTGCTTGCATTGAGATTTTGGTTTTCAGGCTAGTGTTTACACAAAAATTATTGTAATGGGTCTCCTACTAGTACAAATGATTAGAAGATTAGGTGGTAACATGGACGTAGCCATTACATTTTTCTAGGGGGGTCGAAAATTATTTCTTATTTTTTTCAAACCCTCATATTTTTCGAGAAGGACATACACAATATCCCCAAAAAGTTAATGTTTGGAGTGGTGTTTTTGGAAATGCTTGAAAGAATTGGTCCTTTATTTATTGAAGGAAACTTGACAGGTGATCTGCATCTTAATATGCTTCAAGACACTATTGATTCTTTTATCATCCAAGAGCCAGAAACTCAAATTGATGCAGAGGGTAATCCAGTTTTACAGGAGGATTTGTTAACATTCCAGAAGGATGGTGGTGCACCTCATTTTCTTCCGGTCCGACAGTGGTTAAACGAGAGATTTCCGGGTATATGGATTGCAATATTGGATTGGCCGAAGTGGACCAATTGAATGGCCTCCAAGATCACTGGATATACCACCCTTAGACTTCTTTCTTTAGGGACATCTTAAATTCAATGTTTATAAAACACAACCTACTGATATTGATGATTTTAAAAGGCGAATTACAGCAGAATGCCGGTCAATTATCGGTGAAGTTTACCGAAATGTTAGGGAGGAATTTGAAAACAGACTCTATTATTGTTTACAGGAAAATGGACAACATTTTGAACAACTTATAAGATAGGGCGTAAGTGGTGTAACCTAATATTCTAATCATTTGTACTACAAAGAGATCCATTACAATCATTTTTGTGCAAACACTAGCCTGAAAACCAAAATCTCAATGCAGACATATTTAATTGTTTCTGCAACTTTGAAACATGATTATTCGGAAACCTCTGGAAAAAAACCAACAAAGTAGGATACCATTAAAAAGAGAATTAAACGCCCTTAAAAACGATGTGCCAATTGACCCCCATTCCCATTTAAGATTGTAAGGGTGACATCTGCCTCTCCTAGGGGGTTGAAAGAAAAAGGCTAAAAATATTCTTTTAAAGTGCAAGCAATACAAATAAAATTGACGTGTCTTTCCGATTTTTCATAATTTTAACTGCAAGAAAGATATTAAAGGTGGGAAGTTTTAAAATTGACACAGTGTATATATAAACGGCCGTATCTTCTTTTTACGTTAAATCTTTATTTTTTCATAGCATCAAGAGAGTAGACTTGAATATATATGGTTTAAATTTCAACTTGATATCTCCAGGCGTTCCCGGTTTTGATAGGTTTTGATAGACAAATGATAGAAAAAGGTTTTGATAGACAGACGGATGGACGGACGGCCAACCAAATGATCCTATAAGCACAGAATATCTAGCTACGCAACAGAAGCCTCGTTACATGTATAAAATTGTAGGTAGCAAAAGGAGACAGGCTTTAAAAGTCTGTCTCCAAATCAGATATTTTGATGTGGTAGTTTCGCTACTTAATAATAGAGGGCAATAAATTTAAAAGAAAACAGTTTTCTACAAACAAAATTTAAAAAAATTTTGTGCAGTGTTGCTCATTGTGTAATTCATATCGTAATACTTCCTGATAAAGCCTACCTTCAAATTTGCTACATCATTTAAAACATATTAAAATAGATCAGAGCTGTTTTTTTCAGTTTGCCATGTTAGTTGGAATTAAAACTTATGAGCTAAATTACAATCACTTCCTGACGTTTGATTGTATAATTGAATCCTGAATTTTCATTGTAATTCGGCGACAATATAATAAGTATTGTTCTACTATTATACCACTTCCTGACGTTCGATTGTGTTCATACCAAGTTCATATTGTATAATCGGGAAAAAACGGCTTTAGCGATAGCTATGAAATGAATATCACTGTCATTTTATATGTAAATTTATATGGGAAATGTCATCGATCGTCCTTTTCCAGCCAACTGGACGCCGTTTTTTTCAGAAGCATATCAAGTGATACCATAATATAGTACTATACTACGATACATGGCGTTCGATTGGGCTTAAACTTGGTATACTATATCTTCAGTGACATTGTAATATCGTGGTATCATGGAGCATATAAAGTGGTACCTTCTATAGTACCATATTTGATGACATAGCAATATTAGGTACATGGCGGCAATAGGGCTTAAACTTGGTATACTACGGATCTTCGGTGACATTGCAATATTATGGTACCTTAAAGCATATCGAGTGGTACCATAATATAGTACACTATTATGATATCATTTCCTGGAGTTCGATTGGGCCCAAATTTGGTATACTTGCGTTTCTTTATAAAGAAACAAATCTTTATAATTTTAATTTATTTTACGAATTTTAATTTATTGTTCGATGTCGTGACAGCAACTTTTATGCCGAACTAATATATTATTAATTGTATCTGTGTCACTTTTTAAAATCTACCTAGGTCTATATAAATAACGTGGCAAACGGAAGTAATTTGTTATAGTATTTTTTAGTCAGTTAACATTTTTTGTACTGCATTTTAATAAATTATTTCCATTATTATTAAACTTATATTTCATTACTAACGTTCCAGCATTAATAAATATCACTATCAATCGCCCTGTATATTATTAATTTTAAAGGTAATTAAAGGTATTTTCTTAGTTAACGTTATAAGTTAGTGTATATTAAAAATGTATATGTTTTGTAATAATATACTTAAAACTTTTTAATAGCCAAAGGAATAATTAATATAAGTGTATCTGACAAGAAAAGAAGAATAGAAAGAAACGCATACTGCATTATACACAATAAAAAGAATGGGATGCCAATTCAAGTCTTTTTGAATCTGGCAACTGTGCATATTCAGCCGAGCTATAAGGCCGTCGACGAGCCGTCGATCCAAAACCGAAAGTTCAAAATTTCTAATTATATTCTGATTATGATATTGTCGCGCCATCTAGTATTCTATTTGTGCAATTTTAGCTCTTTCATTTCGAGTATTTTTCTGTTGTGTAGCTAGATATTCTGTGCTATAAGGTTCCGTTTTTCTTCTTTTGAAGTACGGAACCCTAAAAAAGACAGACGGCAGTGTGTGACCACCTTTACACGCAACTTCCTCCGGCTATCGCGCGTTCACCGCTGCCGGCACCGCCTGCCGGAGGCGGCGTCGGTCGCCGCCGCGTCCTTGACGCCGTCGCGACGCTCTCCGCGGTCCTCTGCCAGGATCCGCCAGCTTCCGATCACCGCTCTGGCCCGTTATCAGTATCAGTCGCGAACCGCAAACGGTCGGGTGTGCAATCTCTCTCTGCGTGTCCTCTCCCATTCATCTTTTCGGTGGTTCATTTTGGCGGGACGACGACTCTTTGTGTGTTTCGCGCGTGCGTACAGTGTGATCACTTGTTGAACGACCACAGTAAGTGTCCCTAATTAACATTGTTGCCATTGTTTTAGTTGAATTGAAATTTCTACCGTTTTTAAAGATAATAATAATTATAAGGTCATACAAAAAGATTACGCATTAATTCAGGAAAATTGCAGAAGAAAAAAAATATTTTGCTGATTTTTTCTTTATACAGAAAGGTCCACAGACTTCGAGACATAGGAAAAATCAAGTCCATTTACCGTGTGTAGCAATTTTCACACCTTAAAAAATTAGTTTTTTATAGCTATATCAACTTCAGCGACTATGAAAAAAGCTGTGTGATTTTCATAGAAAATAAGTGCACCTGTAATTCATTTGAGAATGTTATAAATCGCTAAAAGAGGTTTCAAATCTCTTGGATTTCTATTAATATTAAATAAATTTTATTAAAAATTGAACTAAAATTGTTAGTATCATTAAAAACAATTCAAATTCAGAAATTGTATCAGTCAAATTCCCTCATTTAAGGTGAATATTGAAGTAAATATAAATACAGCTCATTCTAAGCTCTACTTATCTTTAAGAAAAATTTAAATCATTGGTGCAATTGGGCCTTAATGCCATTTCGAATGAATAATAGTAATAATAATGTACATTATAATATTAAATTTTATATCATAGTGTGGTATTAAAACTACTAAAACACTTTTAAATTGGTATTATATTAACAACTTTTGTTTTTTTAATCTAAAAAAGTAACAAATTTCTCAATCAAAATATTTGTGGTCCTGAAAAGGACCTTTGTTTTCCCATGTTCGTCAAGGTAGGTAAGGGGTAAACGGTAAACAAACAGGATAATGAAATTTACAAAAATTGTTCAAAAATGCCTCCCTCTTGCATTAAACAATAACCCAAACGATCATAAAATCCCCTCTCGCTCTCTCTCCTCACATTGGATAACATATCAGAGGTGACAGTGTCAAAGGCATTAAATATTTTCTGCCTTAACTGCTCCAAGTTTTGAATTTCTTCATGGCCGTAACTTTTAGATTTATGTACCCCCATAAAAAGAAATCATTCACCGAGAAGTCAGGTGAAATTAAACGTCAGTCTAAACAAAACTGTCATTTTTGAAAACTTGTCAAAATTTGGACACACGCTAAATGGACTTGATTTTCCTATGTCTCGAAGTCTGTGGACTTTTCTGTATATTACAAACATGAAGCCGGTGGCAAAAAATGTTTTGAGAGACTAAATCTTCCAAAATTAGGAATCTTCCCACAAAAAGCTTCTACGTTTATACTGCCCTTTGTGGTCATAGGTAAAGCTGCTTTGAGATTCTGCTATTGGTGCTTTCTAGCCATTTTTCTGCCCAGTTGTACAAACATAGCTTAAACTCAAGTGAAAATAACTAGTTGATACTAACTCTCAAGTTATCTCTGATAATTTTCTAATATCATGGTCCCATCTCAGGTTCGGTCTTCTTCTAGGTCTCTCAATTCCTCGTCCGTCCTTCTTGCCATGTTTTCTGCCTATTCCCACTTGAGGGATTTGGCTCTATGGATGGCATCTATTACCTGGGTATTTTGTTGTATCCACTCTATTCTTTTACGATCTCCCTTGGTTATTCCCAGCGTATTTCGTTCCATTGAGCGTTGAGCGATCTGCACTTTCCTTATGATGTCCGTTTTAAGTATCCAGGTTTCGCATGCATAGCTCATCGCTGGTAGAATACATTGTACAGTGGTTCCCCTTAAGTAGCTGCGCGGTCATAACTGTTAGATATCTAGATATAGCTTGACTGTACTTTTTTTAATATAAATTGATAACAAATGCTAAATAAATGTATATAAAAAACTTAATATAATATGTATTAAAAAAATTGGGCCCAGTTCGTGTGATTTGCATTTTAAGTTCTAACTATTCGGAAAGGTATACAGATTATGTTTGCACATACGTAGATGTTTTTTCATATTGAAGAGGTCAAATTTATTTTAAATGTTGAAAAAATAAAACAAACAGTCGTTTGATTTTATAAATACAATTTTATTGTCAATTGATATACAGTGTGTCCACGAAATAAGTTGACACGAAGAGGAAAAAATAAGTTACTGTTATTTTAAGACAAAAAGTCAAATAACCACCCGATATAACCACCCGGTATAAGATCCGGCGGCAATTCGCGGCAACCAGTGGTTATTAATTTATATGCAATATACTTTAAGCAACAAGTATTATCATGCTGTTTAAGAGGATTTGAAAGGGAAAGTAGTTAAAAGTCTTAAAGAGTGACAAGCAAAAATGTAAAAATAGGTACTATTTTTGTTGCCTTCAAATAAATTGCCATAAACTAATATTACTTAGGTTTAATTAAGTGCAAAAAAGAAAAAACATTTCTTTTTACCTTCTTTTCGAACGTCCATTACAGAAAAGGCAACAGCTTTTATCAATTTTAATAAAATAAGTAATTAATTGGCGTTATCTGAAAACTGTTTATGTCAGCTTGATACCGGTAGCAAAAATGTGACATTTCTAATAAAAAAAGCGCTACACTAGGCTTACTTGATTTTGTTATTTATTACGTATCGTTTACAGGGGAATATAAGAAAAGTATTAGCAACAGTTTCATGCAAATATTTTGAAATTAATATTTCTAAGTAATGACCTATCTGGGAACCACTGTGCATTGGTCGAATGTTTTCTTCTTTAGATAAACTGGCATTCTAGATTTGAATATGATTGACTTTTGACTGTCTTCCATAAGTACTCTACGCTAACTTAATTCTTCTGTTGATTTCTGGTAGTAGAGATCCAGAGCTGGTGTATTTTGTTGTCCCAAATATATGTATTCTTCTACTATTTCCAGTGTCGTGTTATTTACTAGAATGTTTAGATGTAGTTCGTTGTACATTCTTTTAGTTTTTGCTAAGTTCGTTTTAAGATCCACTTTATTGCTGGCTGTATTTATTTCGTTAATTTGTGCTTGTAGTTATTCAGGGCTATTGGGAATTAGGACTTTGTCATCAGCGAATCTTAGATGGTTGAGATATTCTCCATCTATTTTTAATCCTTTATTGGTCCAGTCTAGTTGACGGAAGATTTCTTCTAGTGTTGCTGTAAACAGCTTTATACAGAATTACTTACTTTCTTGTAGTATAACATTATCAATTGTGAAATACCTATAATTTTTGATCTAAGATCAACGATACGAACTCATTGAACACTCAATGACTTCGTATTATCCTTGTTTATAAAGGGTATTATATATTAAACTAGCGTGTACCAGCGACTTCGTTCGCGTCGAATTAATCATTTGTAATGGTGATGATAAAGCAAAGCAAGAATTTCCATTAACATACAAACTGGATAAAATTTTCTCACATTTATGTCAGCATGAGAAAAAACAACATGGCGATATTATTATATAATTTGGTAATATTTAAGGGGTAGTTTCATCTCGTTGGAATTTGACTTTCGAAAAATCCGTTTGCCAAAAATAAGCTTTTTACGTCAAGCAGTTTAAGCAGAATCGTTAAGAAATTACCCAACTTTTTGGAACACCCTGTATGATTTTTTAAAATATTTCAAAATATGTAAAAAAACCAAATAAATTATGCTTGTCCAAGCGTTTTCCCGAAAGAGTAACCGTTTTTCAAATAACAAATATTGTAATATTTGAGGGGCGTTTTCACGCTCTTGGAATTTGAGATTCGAGAAACCCCTCCTTATCGAACCTCTACACCCCACAGTCAATCCGTTTGCCAAAAATCAGCTTTAAACGTCAAGCAGTTTAAGCAGAATCGTGATTACTCAATGGTCATATTTTATGAAACACCCTGTATAAATTTATACAAAATCTTAAAATATGTAAAACAACACAATAAAATATACGCGTTTAAGAGTTTTTCCGAAAACAACTCGGTTTTTAAATAAAAAATATTTTAATATTTGAGGGATAGTTTCACCCCCTTAGAATTCGAGTTTCGAAAAATTCCTTCTTATCGAACCTCTACACCCTAAAGTCAATCTATTTTCCAAAAATCAGCTTTTTACGTCAAGCGCTTTAAGTAGGATCGTGATTAATCAATGACCAGATTTTTCGAAACACCTTGTACACATTTTTAAAAAATCTTAAAATATGAAAAAAAAACAAAATAAAATATACGTGTTTAAGCGTTTTTTTCGGAAATTTGACCGTTTTTTTAATAAAAAATATTGTAATATTTGAGGGGTGGTTACCCCCTTGGAAATGGAACTTCGAAAAATCCCTTCTTATCGAACCTCTACACCCTAGAATCAACCTGTATGCCAAAATTGAGCTTCCTACGTTGAGTGGTTTGAGCAGGATCGTGATTAATCAGTATGTCAGTCACTTAAGGATTTTATATATGAATTTATGTATCGATATGAACTCACACTGAACCAAGTATGAACAACCGGGCGGTATCATTTATGTTGCTATACTAACTCATCTTCAAATGCATATATTAACAGTAAAAAAAATTAACAAAATAAATGATAATTTCAGAAGTTGCAATCGGGATTCTCTATGGAATGAAATTATTTATCAAAAAGTGATGAAGTGTGTGAGCAAGTAGTATAGAAGAAAAACTTTTTTATAATTGACATTTTGAGAAAAATACATTCTTCATAAAAAATTTTGCTTGTTCTAAAATGGTTTATCCCGTTTATACTTTTCCAAATTTCCATATCGTTTTAGTGAAAATTAAGAAAAGGTTGAAATTTCTCCTAAAGTCCTAAAATCCAAGTCCTAAATATCAAAAGGCGTTTCTGTGGTAATATAAATTCACTTTCATACTTTGTTAGATTGTTATTCATATAGGTGATGATAATTATCGGAAAATATGATACTTTAACAACAGCAAAGACCTAAATCCAAGTCCTAACAAGTTGATTAACATAACCATTTATTCACACATCTATCAAAGAATGAAATCGAAATCATATAACTATAGAAACTCCTTTTGATTTTTAGGACTTTGAAAAAATTCAACCATATTTTCATGTTTTTCTAAATTTTCTTTAAAACG